CCCTTTTTTCTTTGAGGTTTTGAATCTTTTTTCCACTCTGGGTTTTAAGAACTGTTTATATAATAGGGAGACTTGTCATTTTTCTGTAATTTTTTTCTTTCAGTTTGTTATTAGATTTTTAACTTTGCCATGCAAAATTTGAAAGACTTTCTAGATACTTAGCTTTATATAGGAATTCACCCTGCTTTATTCTAGGATTGGTATAGCTTCAGTTTTAGTATTTAAATACCTAATTCATTAAGAATTAATTATTTTGGTATATGATATGAGGTATGGATCTGATTTCTTTTTCCAAATGAAAGTTGTCCAAATAGCATGTATTGAAAAGTATTTCTTTCTATTGATACTTTTCCATACGTACTTGGATCTTTTTATGAATTTTGCAGTCTGTTTACTAAGCTACATGTCTACTCATGCATAAGCACCATGCTTTAATTACTGAGGCTTTTTATACTATGTGTATTTAGTATTGTTGCCGCAGTGGTTAATAGCTCAGCTGCTAACAAAAAGGTTGGCAGTTCAGATTTACCAGCCACTCCTCGGAAACCCTAGGCAGCGTAGTCTGTCCTATAGGGTAGCTATGAGTTGGAATCGACTCGATGGCAAGTTTTTATTCCCGCTAATTTCTCTTTTTTTTTCAGGATTTTGCTAGATATTCTTGCATTTTATATGAATTTTAGAATCAGCTTGTCTAGTGCTGGGGAAAAAACTTGTTATTTTTATTGGAATCACATAAAATTCATATATTATCTTGGGGAAAATTGACATTTATGTTACGTTGTTCTGTCTCAGAACAAGGGACGTCTTTCCATTTGTTCAAGACTGCTTTTGTGTCTTTCAGAAATATTTTAACTGTTTCCTCCTGTTTTGCACATTTCTTGTGTTCAACTATTTTATCTTTCATATTGCTCTTATAAGTAGGGTGTTTTCTTTCACTGTATCTCCTAACTGGTTGTTTAAATATGTAAAGTATATTGATTTTTATATTAAATTTTATGTCTTGCTCATTTTCTGAATTTTTTTATTCTATTATTGGTTGTGTTAATTTTAGCTTAATTTTTTGGGCTTTCTAGATATAATGTTATCTGCAAAATATAATTCTTATGAAGGGCTTGCAATCTTAATACAAACAGCCTTATATTAAATTTGGCAGAAAGACACCTGCCATCTAAAACTTTGTATTTTACTACAATGTAATAAATACTATTTCCTTTCTTCACAGCCATAGGTAATCAAAGCATAATTCTCTCTCTGTATTCTATAGAGTTCATGGGGATTTCCAAAACTCAAATAGGATACATAGTCATAGTGGTCCCTGAAATATAAATAACTTAAAAAGATACCATGGACGGGAGGATAGCGGTTCCCCTGTTCCTAGCACAGTGCCTTAGTGCTTAGTGGGTAAGCCATAACCTTTTGGTGGTGATGCATAAGATTTTTTGGCTGTATCTTCTCACTTCAGAATTTGGCACATACTCTTGCCTGTATATGATTTTGCAGTAAAACTAGTCATCTTTGTTCTCTCTTTCCTTTGATCATGGTCCTGAGTTGAAGATTGCTAAGGTTTAGGAAAACTAAAAAATATATTACATTCTCCTATTCAGATCGGTCAGGTACATGGGGTAAAAAGGTATGTTCTGATTCTCTCCAAAATAAAATACCTGAAGTGTCTGCCAGGAAGCATAAAATTTCTTCCAGTACCTTTTATCAGTGGTGCTAACTAATATCTGGAAAATTTAGGAACATTTTTCGGTAAAACATTTCAATTTTGCAGCAAGTTTGGGAACCTTACCAAAGGAAGAAGTAAATTAACATTTTGAAAACAGTCCCAGAGCATTAACTTAGACATTCTGATGACTAATACACACAGTTAACACTGCATTATAACATATGAACCTGGTAGATATGGCAGAAAAGACTACAGTCATTCAAGTCAACTCCTGAGGACCTTCTGTGTTTTCAAGCATTTGCATTAGGCACTGTGGGTACAAAGATGCATAAACTCGGATCCCAACCACAGGAGCCAGACATACACATTACTGGATTTGGGGAGTTGGTGACTTAAATGCATGGGTTTCAGGCCTGGTACTATTGCTCAGTAGTTGTGTGACCTTGGTAAAGTTACTTGACTTCTGATTGACTTTTCAAAGGCCACTGTTTCCTTTTTTTTAAAATAAGGCTGTCTTTTTTGTTTGTTAATTAACTATCTTTAAAGTTCTTAATAGTTGCTATTTTAGTTTGATTGTTCTGTTTTTATTAAAGAGGTCGTTTAACTTTTCCTTCGGTATTAGTGGCGCCACCAATTTTTGAAGCTCATCTGGTTTTCTTCAGGTTATTGAGGGTCCTTAAGAGAGTTGTTAGTTTTCTTTACTCATGTTTTGAAGTTCACCTGTACTGATGGAGGTCTGAGCTGTGGGGAGAAAAAAATACCTGGGCACTGTTACCTCTCTGCTGAGGCACAGGAGTAAACGTCTCTTAAGTCTCATCGGATGCAAGTTAAAGCTCTTCCAGTGACAAGCCTGGAAGCACATTCTTTCAGCAGTATTGGCTTCTTCTAAGTTCACTGTGGTCTATACGGTCTGCCAGTGCTGTAACATTTGTTGCCAAGGAGATGTACAGGTTCTGCTGGCTGAGAGCCCTCAGTGAACTCAGAAAACCCAGTCTTCTGCCCATGCATTTGAAAGAGACCTGCTTTTCCTCCAAAGGTCCTTGCTTAGTACCTGCACACTGGTCCTGAAATCCCAGAAGAATATACTGTCCAAGCTCTGTTATACTGTCCAGGCTTTGCCAGCCCTCAACTTGGGATCTTTGTAGGCCTCTAGAAAGAGCTAAACTAAGCGATGTGATTTCAAATTCTAAAACACATACTTATCCTGAAATGGAAGCTATAAAATATGTAGATTTTTTTTCCTTTTTATTTTGTAAGTTGAGAATTTGGATATATTTTGGGTTTTTTTTTTTTTTTTCCCCCCATCATTTTAAATTCATTTCTAATTGGATCCTCCTTGGAAACACTATGGGGCAGTTCTACTCTGTCCTATAGGGTCGCTATGAGTCAGAATCAACTCAGTGACAGTGGGTTTGGTGTTTGGTTTCTAATTGGATAAGAATTTTAAAATCTATTATCAGGCTAGGTCAGGTTTATAGCAGTAAGAGGACAATAGTGAGACCACACATGTAAGAAGTTGCTACTTCCTGAACCCCATGGTGTGACCGACCACACACATTTAAAAGCCAGTGTGTCTTGCCAGACTGTTCACAGTGGTTGCAGTAGGAAGGGGTGTGGAAGTGTGGGGGCTGGGAAAATGGGGATTTCACAGTTTGTTCTGTATACTTCTGTATTTTAAAATCTTAAAAAACAAGAATCTGCATTATTTGAATATTTTCCAAAATATATTTACTCGCCTATTAGAAAAATTTTTTTTGTTAATTCTTCAGCTTAAAAAACTTAAAAGGTCAGTGTTACTCTATAAATAAAAACGTGCCTTTCCATCAGAATTTCCCTTAAGACTTTATTGTTACACTTAAGACAAAACCTTGTTAATTTGTTCTGTGATATTTCTTCAAAAAATGGACATCTCTGTTTTATTAGACTTAGCTCTTGAGGTTAGAAATCATAATTTATTCATTCATCTTTTATCCCTTAGTGCCAAGTAGTGACTCAGTAAATAGTAGTTGATTGAATGAAGGTAGAATGGTGCCTTTTACAATAGATGTTGAGAGAATTTTTTAAGCGAAACAAAAAATATATAATTTTTATCATGTTTTGCAATACTTTGTTTACTTTGAATGAGTGCTTGCTAAATGATTTTAAAAAGTGATTATTTTCTGTTGATCTTGCGTAATCTCTTATTATATGTTAAGGAAAAATGAATTAAATACTTAAAAAGGAGAGGAACTAGCATTTTGTTTCAACTAGAAGTTTTGCTAATTGGTATTAACAGTACATTGCAGTTCTCACCTGTAACCAGCCCTGCATGTGACAGCCTTTAGTGTTATTTGAACAAACTAATAAGGTGATGGTGCAGTGGTTAAGTGCTTGGCTGTTAACCAGAAGGTCAATGGTTCGAACCCACTAGCTGCTCCATGGGAGAAAGATGTGGCAGTCTGCTTCCGTAAAGATTTACAACATTGGAAACCCTATGGAGCAGTTTACTCTGTCCTGTAGGGTTGTTATGAATCAGAATCACCTCAGTGGCAATGGGTTTTTATTCTGATTTGCCAACCCAGATGTTGGTTTACTGATGGGCAGAGATTGAAAAGTAAATGAGACCTACACCTGGGTTCATTTTTACTTTAGCTAAACTTTGAACCAGTATCTTTACAGATGGGATGCAATGTTGTTTTATCCTTAAAGGCTATTTATTACAAAGAAATACAGAAGAGAACATTGGGAACAGAAAAGATAAATCCACACATGATAAAAGAATTTTTTTTCCAAGTTTAACGATCAGTGTTATCGTTTTAAAGGAGAGAATCAGAGAAATTTTTTTTCTTCAGATACTCCATGGTGTTTGAATACAGTAAATAGCAGAATATGTCATAGTAGGAAGTCAGATGATCAAAGAAAAATTCAAATAGATGTATTTATTCTTTTTGAGAAAATAAAGAAATGATTTCTTTCATAGCCTTTGAGATCATTTCTTTATGAAAACTTGATGACCTCAAGTCAGAAATAAAACTTTCATGGAAGAACAGCAGGAGAGCCCAGATAATGGTATCATTTTGAGCTGAAAGTAGGATATGGGCACATCTTGTGCTATTGCTGGTTGCCACTTGAATGGGAAAATTGGCTCAACTAACCTTGAGTCAAGTCTCTTAGCTAACTCTCCAACTGTTTCTGACCAAAGGATGCGTGATACGACTTTAAAGGACCCTGCCATCTGAGAGAAGCATTTTTCTTATAAGCTGTAGGAATCATGCCTTGCTAAAATAAATGTTTTCAAAATGAAATGGATAGGCATAATAAGTAAATATTCACAGTCTTTTCTTTTTCACAGGGATTACCAGCATAGAAAGAAGGCCTTGTAACCATCACGTAGATACAGCGCCAACAGTAAGGCAATCTGTTTTTGCATTGTTAAAACTGATAGGAAGCTACAAAATGATGCTGGTTACAGTGACACAAGATGCCATTGTAGAAAACTTTTATAACTTTCCTTTAGCCAAAACGTATGTCTCCTAAAGAAAATTAACCTCATCTTTTCTACTCAGTGAAGGAAACATTAATTTTTGCTCTTTTTGCCAAGATAGATTAAAATAAACTACTGCATTGTTTTTATGGATACTTGTTTATATTAAGGTTTATGAACAGAATTTTTTATTTAAAGATATTTCTTGGTTTTGGTAAAGTAATGTAACTTTATGCAAACTGATTTAAGCCTTTTTTAAAATCAGTGTTCTTTTGTGCACTGCCATCATTATTTAGGGTGATTGTTTTGTACTAATGAAAGAAAGCCATTGTGCTTCATTTCTCTTATGGGTTGCTTTACTTTGTTATATATAGAAGTGAAGTCCCCTCTGTAATCCCTCTTCTATTACTACCAAACAACTTGGAGGCATTTAACAGCTATAATATGTATTTACCCTGTTTTCAAAAATTATAGAATATAGTATAGAAAGAAGAAAATTAAATTTCCCTTTACTTTTAGTCTCAGAATATAATATTTAGTATAAAATATACATCAGTTTCTAGTTCCCAGTTGAAAGATTTTTTTCATAAGATGACATATACTGGAGTATATCTTACTCTTCATTACTTTTTGTGCTTTCTGCACAATAAGTTTTTCAAGTGCTCCATGTGATTTATTTTTCCTGTTGTAGAAAGATATGATAATACCTTTTTTTTTTTTTAATATATATTTTATTGTACTTCAGGTGAAGGCTTACAGAACAAAGTTTCTCATGAAACAGTACTACATGTGTTGTTTTATGACAT